TCTCTCTCTCTCTCTCTCTCTCTCTCTCTCTCTCTCTCTCTCTCTCTCTCTTCTGTCTCTCTCTCTGTCTCTTTCTCTCTCTGTCTGTCTCTCTTTGCCTGTCTCTCTCTGTCTCTCTCAATACGACTTCTTTATATCTAACTAACTTTTAGCAAAGACAGTATACATGGGTGGTTGGCGGGTGCTCTGGTGTGGTTTGCTTCGTCTTTCCTTTCAAACATCTATCGTCCTGATCTCCCCTCCTTCTATCTTGTGTTTGTTTCTCTCTTGCGACACCTCTAATATTCGGCACTTATAAGACCTTATTATGTTGCAAGTGCTGTAAAACACTTGCTAAAACTAAACAGACTGTATGCTGGACTAGAAACTGATCATGTAGGCTCAGTTTAAATCTAAGACAAAGATTTTGTAGCGTCTGTACTTCTTTGTGATCATTTATTAACAGAAAAACGAACAAAAAATGTTAATTGCCTTGCTCGTTAAAGAGAACTGACAATTTCACATCCATTAAATTTGTCCTGGTTATAGATATTCCAATTTTCTGGAGAACAGCGTGACAATTAGGGTTTATTACGGTGTTTTATCCCTGACAGCAAACAATTTGTGCATCCGTGGACGGGTGATGATCGGGTACCACAGCTGGTCTAACGTGTGGAAATATTGACCGGTGTCATACAGACGACAGCTTTTTGATGCAGGTTCAGGAGATCTGTTACATTTAAAGGATTTTTTTAATGGTGAAAATTAAGTCGCTTGCCTTTCTTCATATTTGTGTCATGCGCTAGGTCTACATTTGTCGATCGGGAATAATCATGTCGTTAGGTGCACACGTCTGAGTCATTTGTCTTGTTATACCTAGTCACGTCACCGCAGATTTGATCAACAAAGGCCTCGGTCTTGTAATTAGCCTGCATTTCTATTGACAAAAGTAAATAAGAAAAACAAAACAAAAAACAAAACAAAAACAACTTAACACCCCCCCCCCTTTTTTTGGAAAAGGGCGTGTGTGCTGTATATCAAGAGGTCTGTCTCACTTTCCTGGCATCCAGACGTTGTCGGATGAAAACACAGAGATGTAGGACCGGCGTCGGTTGTGTAGCGGCTAGGCTCTTCGCTGTCGCACACTGGAGACCCGAGGGTTTTTTTCTATTTTATTAAGGTTTTACAGCGCTCGCAACTGCAAAGGGTCATATGAACGCCAAGGGGTGGATGTCAACAGAGAAGTCTTTACAGTGAATCAGACTTACTCTGCTCACCTCTCTAGCTTCTACAGCCCAAAGTCTGCTTTGACTCTCAAGGCAATCTGGAAATAGCGGGTCACAAAAGAGTGACAAATATACAAAAGAAGTAGAGGCAAAATGACGATTGTCATGATTAGGAATGAAAAAGCAGCAGTTCCCTGTTGCAGTTCAGGCACAGTTATGGGCATAACATTTATTAATCAGCCCATTTACAATCCTCCTGTGGTTAATGTCCCCCCTTTGGGAATGACATAAAAAACACTTCAGTCAGTAGCACCGCTCCTTATGGTTAGACCCGAGTTTGATGCCCGAGTGGGGTAGATTTATAAAGAGTCGGCCAATCTCGGTCTTTCTGCTGGGATATTGTATTCCTCTCAGCTTAGACAGGCAAGGACGGGCAGAATCGAAAGCCCGACTTTTGAATGATCTAAATAATGAGGATTGAGACATAAAAACACATAAATAAAGTATAAGAATAAATAAACGAACATATAAAAATAACAACAAAACTAACGTGTGGAAAAGAGAAACAGTTCATGACTATAGCTTTGTTGCTCTCGTCTGACTGCGGTTAAAACAAGGAAAAATGAAATCGCCCCGTTTATTCTTCTCCGATCTGTGCATACGAGTCTAAAAAGTGGATGAACAACAGAATCAAAAAGTAAAAGCCCGTTCATAAAGGTCACTGCAAACTAAGGTTCCGACACGTTTTCTTTGATGTTAGTCTAAAGTGAATTTAAAAGAAAATATTTGGGGATTTATATTCACGCCCAAAACATGACAAAGATGGCGTATTTTTCTCAACGCCACTGCTAAACGTACGCGCACTCACGTGGGCATATCTCGCCAGTCGTTGGATGAAATCTACAAGCTTACACTGAAATGAGGGGGCAGGATGGTGTCGTGGTCTAAAAATGAGCAATTTGTAGGCTAGGTTACTATAAGTCGATATATGTGTGTGTAATTTATTTATGTAGGAATTTATAAGTGTGTACTTATGTATGTGTGTGTGCACGTTTGCCATTAGTAACCAAATTGTCCTTCTGGGATCAATATAAATATAAATTAATTTATCAATATGTATATATATATATATATATATATATATATACACTATTCGCTTGACCCACAACCAGTCCTGAATCGCCTGCTAAAGGCATTTACAGAGACCGCTCAAAACGCCGAGGTAGTCACCACGTCCGTTTCAGAGCGTTTTGTCGACCTGCTTTGGCGCATGAGTAATGTCCACGACAACATGGGAGCTGTGAGTGGGTAGATGTGGAGGCGGAGGAGCGAGAAGTTTCGCGAAAACGTGACACTTTATAAAATAAACTGCCATGACATTGTAGAGGCTGTCCGAGCATTGACGTAGGCCAAGGACTGGGAACATTTCGGTCAACTTAGCTACATGATGGAAGAAAACCAAGATGTCAGAAATTTGTTTGAAACCTTTAAGTTCTAACATCACAAGAACCTTCTCCTATTGTTTAGTTTGAGAATCTGCAACTTCTGCCCAAATAATTAACTGTGCAATACAATATTGACCCCTGCCTTCCTTTTCTAGTTGGAAATATATTTTAATTAACTTCATTTTCCATCACAATAAATGACAATTTCGTGGAGAAAAATATCTGTTCACTTGTGTATTGCTCTCTCGAGTATTTATCTACATAACTCTAAAGATCTTGTAATTGGATTCCTGCGTGTATTTGAATAATGCATTTGATGTGATATGTACATTTTTTTTCAGTTTTTTCTTTTCTTTTCATATTGAATCTTAATGAGAGTGACATTGTATAATTTAATCTTTATGTATACCTGCACATGTTTTTACAGTCCTGTACAGCCAACAAATATTTCCCTCTGGGACAATAAAGTATAATACTATCTGATCTTATCTTATCTTATCTTATCTTATCTTATAACATGCAACGAGGTTGTTATGTTAACAAACTGCACACTTGAACCACAACAGAATCATCACACACTGTGGCTGCAAATAAAACTAAAAGGACCCCTTATACGTGTAATAATTTTAGCTGCATTTGGTTTAATTACGTATTTTTAAGCCCTCACCGACATAATTTAGATCAGTTAGGAGGCGGTCTTCCGACCCTGTCTGTCAGTGCCAACACGGGCTGAGAGGGTACAACATCCTAGAAGAAAGACCGAGATACATGTACTCGACACAAACTTCCTTCCAGTCTGAAATCGAACCCTGGCCATCTGTGTGCTACAGACAGTGCCAAGCCACTACACCACCGAGACCGGCTCAGTGTCAAAGGAAGGAAAGATGAAAGTAGTCTGGAATGTAACGAATTACAGAACATGCATTATTATGATAAAACAAGGTTATAAATCTATGCAAAGAAAGCTTCATCAAAGTAAACGTTTCACAGAAGATCACGAACCTGAACTCCAAACTCTTTCAGTGACGTTTATTCGTGAAATAACACACAGAACAGAAAATGAATTTGTCAACATTGAAGAAATTATCTTTGGAAACAGAAGAAAGCAACAGCATACAAAAAAACAAAGAGGGATAACAGATATCCCACCGAGTACTAGTAGGGTTGTGGCCTCTTGGAATGAGTCAGGTACAACAAATGAAGGGTATAAAGTATAAGAAGGAAAAAACAACAACAAATCAAGAGATGTCAGGTTTCGGACAATTTGAGTATGTATGACGAGAGTTGGAAAGTGACATGTGTTGGAAAGTGTTTCCACATCTCTTGGTCGTGTGTCCTATCTGAATGTCCAGGGCTTAACACCTGATGAGCCGGCCAATATCAGGCTTGAAAAATAAACTACACTTGTGGGGAAACGAAGGATGCCAAGCATTTCATTTCTACTTAAAATATCAAAAAGTCAAAAAGTGGCATTGCTTGTTTTTCCCTTTGTGCCCGTTACTTGACCTCCTTGTTGAGAAACGTGCTGGCAAACACTTGCTGGAACTTGGAACTCATCCTCAGATAGACGAACAAATTCACGCTAGAGTTGAGAGCTTCCAGTGACAACTGAACAGACCAGAGGAGTCGGTAGATGCCGCCATATTTCCCATCAAACCGGAAGTCCGGATTTATAACCGTGAAGAAGAGAAGGAAGGTCGGCGGCACGAAGCAAACGATATAGATAGCTGCGATAAAGGTCACCATTTTCACGACCTTTTCGTCTTGAGTCCCAACTCCTCCCGTTGTGGTAGAGTTAGCGCCCCTCACAGCCGTGGTCCGGCGCCATTTTTTTTTACTGTTGAGCTTAACGACGAGGACGATTGTACAGCAGATGACGAGTACAAAGGAGAAGCAGGATAAGGTAACTCCACTAAGCAGGAAGAGAATCGCCTCCAGCAGTTGTCTGTCCCCGGAGTAGGAGATGTGGAGTATTGTCGAGTTTCTCGAGGGATCGAAAGTCCAGACGAGTCGGTTTCCCAAGTAGAAGGGAACAAGGGAGATAATCATGAGGAGGTAGATGGAGGAGACGACGACCCTCGTCCTTTGAGGCGTGATGAGAGATTTCACCTTAAGAGGTGAGGCCACACAGAGGCACCGCTCAAACGTGAGGAAAGCCGTGATGAGACTGGTGGTCCGGACAAAGATGGCGTGTGGTGTGGCGCCGTTAAGTAGGTCATGTCGGCGGGGTCAAAGGGCAGCTGGGAGGTCAACAAGAGTGGGTTCTGGCAAATGCTCAACCATAACAGCGTCAGAAGGGAGCACAGATCAGATACTGCCAGGCCTAAAATAAAAGAAAAAATTGTGAAATTGTATTGTTTTAAGACAACTGTCAACACTATTAGGCTTTTAAAGAGGCAGGACCTCCGAGTTTAATGTCCTTCCATCTCCTAAAGGACCGAGCCGCGTGGCGAACTCGTGAAAAGTGCCTTTCCCAAGGATACAACGTGGGGCCGAGCAGATGCTCGAACCCTCGAACCGGCAATCTCACGATTACAAGTCCGGTAACCCTAACCACTAAGCCACCGACTCCACCAGGCCTGAAACAAGAGCCAGTACACAAAGTAGCTTACACAGCTGATGTGAAGTGCTTGTTTAGATCTATAGATTTAAGGTGGTTGCCCGGGGGGGGGGGGGGGGGGAGGGGGGGCTACACCACGAAAGTCCCGATTCGGCTCAAAGCTATGGATTTTAAGTTGTAGGCATTTTTAGATTCTCCAGCCTCTCTTACAACTATTCCATCGAATAAAAATCCCCTAAAGCCTTTTTTCTTCTCATACCGGGTATGTTTGTCACGCCCGATTCCTCAAAAAGACAATATCATTTTTTTAATGGCACGTTTTCTCGAAACGTGGTTTTTCTATATACATGTATTTTAATAAAAACTCTACCATTGTTCATCCAATCTTCATGAACTTTTCACAGAATGAAGAAAAGATATAATACTAAAATTTTGTGTGACGAATTCTATGTGTTATTATATGTAATAGTTTTTCGTTGGTGGTGGGTTTGTTTTTTTTCAAACGTGAATATTCCCTCGGGAAAAAATTCATTAAATTTTTTCTAGTACGTTTAAGAAAAAAACATCGTACAAAAATTGCAGATCTATAGTTTGATAAGATGCATGCAAAAAAACAAACAAACAACAACAACAGCCAAAAAAAACCCCATTATTTCCATGAAAAATAGGTGCGGTATTGTTTATGTAAAACATGTCAACAAAATCCAATATGGCTGCGGTATCCGTGGAAACGAAAAACGTTTTTCTTAATTTCTTTGTGGATTTTAAGACTCCTTATTATGCTTGTTGTATGTGTGAAATTCTGTAACACATGATCCCCTAATAAGCAGAATGCCTTATGGTGTAGCCCCCCCCCCCCCGGGTTTGAACCCTGACAGCGAGGAAAACATTTCTACTCTAAAGTTTTCTCTTTTCACCTCCTTACCTGCTCTCTATCTGTGTCCTGCCGTCTGCTTTAGTCTCCCCTTTCTGCCCCCCCCCCTTCCCCCTTTCTCTGGGCTCCTGAATCTTTCTGCAGTCTTTCTACTGCTACTTCTTGGCTCCCTCTCATTGTTGTCTTTCAGCCACATCCCTGATCTTATGGTAGGTTGTTTTTTTTGTGTTTTTTTAGCGGACGATAACCGTCGATCTTATGGTAGGTAACATCTACACCTAGCCTTCTCAGATGATGGTGAAATATCTCGGAGGCCCTGTGTGCAAGCTGCTGACTTTAAAGATCTCTTGGGGGGTCCTAAAATAGGCTTCAGCCGTCACCCGGGCAAAATTCAAAACTCTACCATTATACCAGACTAAAATTGTTTAATGTGCCCCGGGGGCTCATATGACCTGATGCAGTTGCGAGCGCCGTAAAACACTTACCAACATTTTTTTAAAGGCCTACAAATTGTGGCGACTTAGACTAGTGTACGATAATAATAATAATAATAATAATAATAATAATAATAATAATAATAATAATAATAATAATAATAAGGTTAATTGCATTAATTTGTATAGCGAATCTCCCCGCTCTACAGGCCAGGGGGGTGGGATCAAGAGAAAGTAGCAACCGATAGATAAATAAGGAGGGAGACAGAGGGAGAGAGAAAGAGAGAGAGATAGAAAGAGAGGGAGAGAGAGAGAGAGAGAAAGAGAGAGAGAGAGAGAGAGAGAGAGAGAGAGAGAGAGAGAGAGAGAGAGAGAAAATTTAATACAAAAAGAGCGAGTAAGCATAAGGTTTCCATCTTCTTTTTGTGTGCGTGTGTGTGTGTGTTTGTGTGTGTGTGTGTGTGTGTGTGTGTGTGTGTGTGTGTGTGTGTGTGTGTTTGCATGAATGTGTGTGTGTGCGTATGCGTGCGCGTGTGCGTGAGCGTGCATGTGTTGTTTGCTGTCTATATTTAACCCTTTCAATGCTGAGACGTCTATCTATGTTAATAAAGACAAGATAAAACGCGAATCTAATAGAGATTCAAACAAAACTATAATACACTTGACGTTGATTAAGAATATGCAACAGCATAAGAGGTAGTTTCATCTCCTAAACCCTTCCTTATAGGCCAATTTTTAAAAATATATTTATATTGCACCAGTTTTGGGTACCTCAAGCGAATGCATACACCTACACATCCTTGAAGAGATTAACCTTTTCAAATGGTAGGCTTTCAACTCACCCATCAGACTAATGTTGATGCTGTCCTGAAAACCTTGCTTGGCAAACACCACAATGTTGATGACGTTTGACGTCACGCCGAACAGACTGAGGAGTCCACAGATCACCACCGAGTTGGTCAGTTCAACGATGGTCAACATTTCCAGGCTAACTATGTCTACGTCTGCATACATGTTGGGGAGTGGTGCTGGTGCTGGTGCTGTGGTTAAGTCAGTGTTGTTGTTGTTGCTGTTGTTGTAGTAGTTTTGTGGAGAGTCATCCATGCTCTCAGTTCTCGCGATAGAAAACTGTGACATGAAAATATGATTGTCACTTAGGTCTTAATCTGCTACAATGGCTTGCTTGGAAAGTGTGTCGTCAATTTATATTTTCTCTTACTTATTTCTCTCTCTCTTTCTTTCTTTCTTTCTCTCTCTCTCTCTCTCTCTCTCTCTCTCTCTCTCTCTCTCCCCTCTCTGTCCCTCTCTCTTTTCTTTCTATCTATCTATTTATCTATCTATTTATCTATCTATCTATTTATCCATCTATCTATCTATCTATCAATCTATCTATCTATCTATCCATCTATCTATCTATCTCTCGCTATCTCTAGCTCTGTCTTACTCATTTTCCTCTCTCCCTCTGGATCTCTTCGCCCCCTCCCCGTTACGCCCAAGTGAAATATATCCAAATTCGACGCACCACTTATGCCTAGACTGGTAATTAATCCGACAACTAGGAGTAACCGCTTATTTACCTGTCTTCTCTCAGTTTCTTTTGTAAAAACTCATTTTTGGTCTTTTGTCAGTGGGAAAACCTTCTTTCTTGTAAAACAACAAAGCCGTCAAATCATACGTCGCGGGCAAAATTATATCAATCAGTGTGTGTCACAACTCTCGGATGTGGAGATATCGACTGGAAAACTACGAGACCCTGATTGTTTTCTGAGGTGTTTTTGTAAAAGTAGGTCTATAATATGTAATAGAATGTTAGCTTTTGTGGTGTAATAATTTGCATTCCGTAAGATGAGCCTGTGATCTTGACAGCACGTTATTTATTTGTCGACCGGTAAAGACTTGCGGCGTGTTTTTCCAGAAATCTCGACAGCCTCCTTCACGAGATCACACACACACACACACACACACACACACACACACACACACACACACACACACACATACACACACACACACAGAGAGAGAGAGAGAGAGAGAGAGAGAGAGAGAGAGAGAGAGAGAGAGAGAGAGAGAGAGAGAGAGAGAGAGGGACAGAGAGAAAGAGAGAACTAATCACAGATATTATCAATGTTGTTCATATCCCCGCATCATCTACCGACACCAACAATTTATCCGGTCTGAAAAAGTTACACACGTTTTATCACGGTTTTACGGTTCTTTGTGGACGTACATTTTTTTGGGTGAAAATGACAGGAATATTTTAGAATAAAAAACAAGAATTTCCACCCACCGGGGCTGACAAAGACCGTTGAGAAATAGTGATTTACATTAATATAATTACAATTATTTCTCAATCACGCAACTACGTGTAACTCTTCGCTGTATTTTTATTTATGAGTGACTTTTTGACTCTGAGAGTAATACAGCTTTGCGAAATTTGCCAACATAGCACCTAGGCGCTGATAATTAAAAAGAGCATCCCCCAATCCCCCCCCCAACCCCCTCTCCGACTAATATGAGTTAGCATAGAGTTGCGAAAATGTAAGTTTTAAAAGTTGAAAATTACGAGAATTCACATTGTAGTTAAATCACGAAGCCCAAAAAGAGTTTAATTGAGATCTCCTGGAATTCTTGAAATACTAGCTAAGAGTATTAAAATGTCATTGTGAAAGAATTACTGCTTACATTTTAATGTACTTATATCTCACAATTAGCACGAGGCAGGGGTAGGCCACGGGAAACATGGAGGAGATGCGTGGAAAGGGACATGAGAGAGATGAAGCTCCCTTGGAACGAGCTTGGAAGGATGGCCCAGGATAGAGATAAATGGAAGGAGCTTGTATGTGGCCTATACCCTGCCAGGGGTGAAAGGCCATGATTATGATGATGATATCTCATTTTAAAAAGAAGGCACCCAGTGGTGGGTCAATATTTTCCTCCAGGCATTATTAACTCGTGTGTTGGTGGGTCGTGTTGTTGTCTCAGCAAAGTGTCAGGGTACCCTGTCACAGAGACAAACAAAACTAGATCTAGATCTCGCACGAAAACCCCCCCAACAACAACCAAAAAAAACACACAAAAAACGTAAGTTTTGGTTCAACATGTGGGATGATGTAGCCGGAGAGTAATCCTGTAATCAAGCGACCATTGCACACGAGAGACAGTCATCTACGGGCACAACCTG